ATATTAGCCCCACCCACCCAGCCCCTCTTCTCATTCTAACAATTAATTTTATTTCTGTTCAATATAAGATCATTGCACAGATTCAGAGCGGATAAAACCAATCACCGAAATGGAGGCCGGGTGGGTGGGCGGGGCTAATTATGTTCTTCTGTTGTGTAGGAGTGCAAAAAGAATATGAAAAAGTGCCAAAATCAGTCTTATCTTATCTTAAAAAATTGAAAAATCAAAAATCAAAAACCTAAAAAATTGAATATTGAAAAAGTAAAAAAAAGAGATATCGAAAATCAAAAAGTTTATAAAAGTCAAATTTGAAAACTTATGGAAAAATATAAATATTTACAAACCGTAGAATCGAAGAAAACAAAAATTTTTAAAACGTAAAATCGAAACATCGAAAAATTGAAAATCGTCAAATTAAAAATTTGAAAAATTGTAAAATTGAATAATAAATAACCCGAAATTTCGAATATTTTTAAAGGCGACCAAGGGCTTTGTGTTACATAGAGACGCACCGTCGAAATGGAACTGATACTTTTTCGAATTACGGTAAATGAAATACGGCCGAAGCGGGCTTATTTACGAGAGGTAGACGTCAAAACGGGAGATATTTATTTGTAATAGAAACTTCGTTCGTATACAGTGTGTTAGTAGAATTTCATCACAACTTTAAACTAAACGTCAAACTGACGCGACTTCAAAATGTAACCCGCAAATTTCAAACCCGAAATGAATTTCCTCGACAAACTAGTCGGTAAGAAGCAAGCTCTCACCACCTCCGACGCAATCCAAAAACTCCACGAGATGGAGTTCATGCTGTTCAAAAAACAGGAATATCTTGAATCAAAAATCGAAAAAGAAAAGGTTTCATTGGTTAAAAACGCGTCGAAAAATAAATCAGCTGCACTTCAGTCTCTCCGAAGGAAGAAACGTTACGAAAAACAGCTACAACAAATCGACAACACACTAACCACCATCGAGATGCAGAGGGAAGCGCTGGAGTTGGCTACCACCAACACGACGCTCCTCAAGACCATGCAGAACGCCGCCACTGCATTAAAAAAAACCCAGGTCAATGTCAACGTTGAAGAGGTTAATAATATCATGGATAGCATCGCCGACCAGCAGGAGTTAGTGAACGAAATCGCCAACGCGATTGGTAATCCTGTGGGTTTCGACGACGATATAGACGAAGATGAGCTGGAGCTAGAACTGGAAGCTCTGGAAGAGCGCGCTTTGGAGGAGAAACTGCTGGAAATACCGGTCTTGCCTAAAGCACCCACTGGGAAAATTGGTAAAGCGAAGAAGAGCAAAGATGATGATGATGACGACGACCTGGAGAGGTTGGTTCAGTGGGCGTTGTGAAGTGAAGTCAAATGAGATACTCTAAGAGAACAACGGGCGGGTGGGCGGGGCTAGCACCTGCTAAGAAAAAACTGATTTTGGCAAATGACGTAACCCCTAAGAAAAGAGAGGGTGGGTTGGCGGGGCTAGTACTTGCTAAAATAAGAGTGATTTTGGCAAATGGCTTATCCTTTAAGAAATTTAATTAAATTATTCTAAGAAAAGACACTTGAGACTTCAAAGCAGTTTCAAATTCTTTCCAAACAAAAATACTTATCACCTCAAGATTGTTTCAAATTTTTCCAAAAAAATCGGAGTCCCAAAATTAACTCAAAATTTGGATATCGAAATCTACAAGAAAATGAGTTCAACTAATATTTCGAAAATGATTGAAAATCGTCCAAAAATATTAAAAATACCAAAATCAGTTTTATCCTATCAAAACTAACCCTGACCACCCACCCACCCACTATTTTCTTGGGGAGTATGTGATTTGCCAAAATCAGTCTTATCTTAGCAAATATTAGCCCCACCCACCCACCCCCTCTTCTCATTGTAACGACTAATTTTATTTCTGTTCAGTATAAGATCATTACATCCATTCAGAGCGGATAAAACCGTTCATCGAAATGGAGGCTGGGTGGGTGGGCGGGGCTAATTATATTCTTCTGTTGAGTGGGAGTGGAAATTAATAGAATCTAGGATGTGAAAAAAGTAAAAAAAGCGTAATTGTAACTTTTTTTTGGTCGAATATGTCAAAAGTGCCAAAATCAATCTTATCTTAGCAAATACAAGCCCCACCCACCCACCCTCTATTTTCTTGTAGGATATGTCATTTACCAAAATCTGTCCTATCTTAGCAAATATTAGCCCCACCCACCCAGCCCCTCTTCTCATTCTAACAATTAATTTTATTTCTGTTCAATATAAGATCATTGCACAGATTCAGAGCGGATAAAACCAATCACCGAAATGGAGGCCGGGTGGGTGGGCGGGGCTAATTATGTTCTTCTGTTGTGTAGGAGTGCAAAAAGAATATGAAAAAGTGCCAAAATCAGTCTTATCTTATCTTAAAAAATTGAAAAATCAAAAATCAAAAACCTAAAAAATTGAATATTGAAAAAGTAAAAAAAAGAGATATCGAAAATCAAAAAGTTTATAAAAGTCAAGTTTGAAAACTTATGGAAAAATATAAATATTTACAAACCGTAGAATCGAAGAAAACAAAAATTTTTAAAACGTAAAATCGAAACATCGAAAAATTGAAAATCGTCAAATTAAAAAATTGAAAAATTGTAAAATTGAATAATAAATAACCTGAAATTTCGAATATTTTTTAAAGGCGACCAAGGGCTTTGTGTTACATAGAGACGCGCCGTCGAAATGGAACTGATACTTTTTCGAATTACGGTAAATGAAATACGGCCGAAGCGGGCTTATTTACGAGAGGTAGACGTCAAAACGGGAGATATTTATTTGTAATAGAAACTTCGTATACAGTGTGTTAGTAGAATTTCATCACTAGTTTAAACGAAACGTCAAACTGACGCGACTTCAAAATGTAACCCGCAAATTTCAAACCCGAAATGAATTTCCTGGACAAACTAGTCGGTAAGAAGCAAGCTTTCACCACCTCCGACGCAATCCAAAAACTCCACGAGATGGAGTTCATGCTGTTCAAAAAACAGGAATATCTTGAATCAAAAATCGAAAAAGAAAAGGTTTCGCTGGTCAAAAACGCGTCGAAAAATAAATCAGCTGCACTTCAGTCTCTCCGAAGGAAGAAACGTTACGAAAAACAGCTACAACAAATCGACAACACACTAACCACCATCGAGATGCAGAGGGAAGCGCTGGAGTTGGCTACCACCAACACGACGCTCCTCAAGACCATGCAGAACGCCGCCACTGCATTAAAAAAAAACCACGTCAGTGTCAACGTTGAAGAGGTTAATAATATTATGGATAACATCGCCGACCAGCAGGAGTTAGTGAACGAAATCTCCAACGCGATTGGTAATACTGTGGGCTTCGACGACGATATAGACGAAGATGAGCTGGACCTAGAACTGGAAGCTCTGGAAGAGCGCGCTTTGGAGGAAAAACTGGTGGAAATACCGGTCTTGCCTAAAGCGCCCACTGGAAAAATTGGTAAAGCGAAGAAGAGCAAAGATGATGATGATGAAGACCTGGAGAGGTTGGTTCAGTGGGCGTTGTGAAGTGAAGTCAAATGAGATACTCTAAGAGAACAACGGGCGGGTGGGCGGGGCTAGCACCTGCTAAGAAAAAACTGATTTTGGCAAATGACGTAACCCCTAAGAAAAGAGAGGGTGGGTGGGCGGGGCTAGTACTTGCTAAAATAAGAGTGATTTTGGCAAATGGCTTATCCTTTAAGAAATTTAATTAAATTATTCTAAGAAAAGACACTTGAGACTTCAAAGCAGTTTCAAATTCTTTCCAAGCAAAAATACTTATCACCTTAAGATTGTTTCAAATTTTTCCAAAAAAATCGGGGTCCCAAAATTAACTCAAAATTTGGATATCGAAATCTACAAGAAAATGAGTTCAACTAATATTTCGAAAATGATTGAAAATCGTCCAAAAATATTAAAAATACCAAAATCACTTTTATCCTATCAAAACTAACCCTGACCACCCACCCACCCACTATTTTCTTGGGGAGTATGTGATTTGCCAAAATCAGTCTTATCTTAGCAATTATTAGTCCCACCCACCCACCCCCTCTTCTCATTGTAACGACTAATTTTATTTCTGTTCAGTATAAGATCATTACATCCATTCAGAGCGGATAAAACCGTTCATCGAAATGGAGGCTGGGTGGGTGGGCGGGGCTAATTATATTCTTCTGTTGAGTGGGAGTGGAAATTAATAGAATCTAGGATGTGAAAAAAGTAAAAAAAGCGTAATTGTAACTTTTTTTTGGTCGAATATGTCCAAAGTGCCAAAATCAATCTTATCTTAGCAAATACAAGCCCCACCCACCCACCCTCTATTTTCTTGTAGGATATGTCATTTACCAAAATCTGTCCTATCTTAGCAAATATTAGCCCCACCCACCCAGCCCCTCTTCTCATTCTAACAATTAATTTTATTTCTGTTCAATATAAGATCATTGCACAGATTCAGAGCGGATAAAACCAATCACCGAAATGGAGGCCGGGTGGGTGGGCGGGGCTAATTATGTTCTTCTGTTGTGTAGGAGTGGAAAAAGAATATGAAAAAGTGCCAAAATCAGTCTTATCTTATCTTAAAAAATTGAAAAATCAAAAATCAAAAACCTAAAAAATTGAATATTGAAAAAGTAAAAAAATGAGAAATCGAAAATCAAAAAGTTTATAAAAGTCAAATTTCAAAACTTATGGAAAAATATAAATATTTACAAACCGTAGAATTGAAGAAAACAAAAAATTTTTAAAACGTAAAATCGAAACATCGAAAAAATGAAAACCGTCAAATTAAAAAATTGAAAAATTGTAAAATTGAATAATAAATAACCCGAAATTTCGAATATTTTTTAAAGGCGACCAAGGGCTTTGTGTTACATAGAGACGCGCCGTCGAAATGGAACTGATACTTTTTCGAATTACGGTAAATGAAATACGGCCGAAGCGGGCTTATTTACGAGAGGTAGACGTCAAAACGGGAGATATTTATTTGTAATAGAAACTTCGTATACAGTGTGTTAGTAGAATTTCATCACTACTTTAAACGAAACGTCAAACTGACGCGACTTCAAAATGTAACCCGCAAATTTCAAACCCGAAATGAATTTCCTCGACAAACTAGTCGGTAAGAAGCAAGCTCTCACCACCTCCGACGCAATCCAAAAACTCCACGAGATGGAGTTCATGCTGTTCAAAAAACAGGAATATCTTGAATCAAAAATCGAAAAAGAAAAGGTTTCATTGGTTAAAAACGCGTCGAAAAATAAATCAGCTGCACTCCAGTCTCTCCGAAGGAAGAAACGTTACGAAAAACAGCTACAACAAATCGACAACACGCTAACCACCATCGAGATGCAGAGGGAAGCTCTGGAGTTGGCTACCACCAACACGACGCTCCTCAAGACCATGCAGAACACCGCCACTGCATTAAAACAAACCCAGGTCAATGTCAACGTTGAAGAGGTTAATAATATTATGGATAGCATCGCCGACCAGCAGGAGTTAGTGAACGAAATCGCCAACGCGATTGGTAATCCTGTGGGCTTCGACGACGATATAGACGAAGATGAGCTGGAGCTAGAACTGGAAGCTCTGGAAGAGCGCGCTTTGGAGGAAAAACTGGTGGAAATACCGGTCTTGCCTAAAGCGCCCACCGGGAAAATTGGTAAAGTGAAAAAGAGCAAAGATGATGATGATGACGACCTGGAGAGGTTGGTTCAGTGGGCGTCGTAGTTGTTGACATAGTTTCTGACTACATTTTTAATATAAAATACACTTTAATCTTTAAAAGTCCACTTGTCCACTCCTTCCAGCAATGGTTAGCGCGGCGATTATTCCCGCAATAAAAAGCAATAACCCCACGCAGTCCTTCTATTTAATTGACAACTTTGATATCGACATAAAGAATTCGAGCCGGAGGGTAGGAGCTCCGACCGTAGTGCGCCTCGGTTGCAGCCGGGCTTTCGGCACTCTGCTTTGCCAGTTTCACGGGTCATTAGTCCCAGAATTTTCAGATTTCAGCGCAAAATTGAGAAACACTTTATCTTGCTTTCGGTACAATGATTTTTAATATGGACCTCGTCCATGTAACATAAATCGAAATATCAGAGGCAGGGCGCGAGTGTGGCCGACAAGAGCCCGATACCGATCCAGACCTGGCGTGGGGCCAATTACGGACATGCACACGCTTACGCAAAAAGTTATCTTAGTTTTGCCATCGACACACTATCAAACCAAAGGTTTGCGATTTTTTCCACTTTATCATGTCTCCGTGATGGTTCATTTTTATTCCGCTGATGATAATGAAATGTCACGATGACGTTTAGTATGTCACGTTTGATGCGTGCAGCGATATAATATTTCATTAACAAAAAAAAAGGAAAGGTAGTTTATAATTCTGTTTATCTCGGAAAGCCGGCCGGTGTACACCGCATTAAAAATGGGGGACGTGCCAAAAATTAATTGCCATTCAAAATAATTAATGTTTATTTGCACGTGCCTGCATCCGGACGAAAATGTGCGAGGTGCGATTTAAACGCCGATCTGATAATTAAACGGCCGTCTCGACAGGCTTCTGGGTGTCGAGCGCACTATATGGAGGACATGCGAAATACATAATCGGATTATCGATTCAGTTTTTCGGAGGAACGGTGTCAGATGGCAGATTTATTTGTGTGTGTTTTGCTTGTTGTGCTTTTTGGACGGGGCGCTACTCTGATATGCACTTTATGTCAGATTGACGCAGGGGCGGACTCAAGTGAATGGTGGCCCCTATTCATTGATTAATGTGGCACTCAAAACTTGTAGCTATATCTTAATTAAACACCTAGTTCAAGTAAGTGCTCATTCACAATACAACACATAGAGCACTAAACAAAAATTTTTACGCATTAATGCTTAGTGCTCATTCACAATGGGCATAAAGCATAAGGATGTCATAACCATTAATGCATAAAAATTTATGTTTAGTGCTCTATGCTTCTATTCGTTCACAAAGAGCATAAGTGCTCATTCACAATGGGCATAAAGCATAAGGGTGTCCTAAACATTATGCTCATTGTGAAGCATAGAGCACTAAACATAAATTTTTATGCATTAATGCTTATGACATCCTTATGCTTTATGTCCATTGTGAATGAGCACTAACTTCGAGGTTCTAGAGTATAATACAAGTTTTTGAGTCTCCTACGATTTGTTGGGAACATTTCGTGTCTCTGGTAATTATCGCTACTAAGAATACATCATTAGACCATTTACGAGCAGAAATTAATAAAATCCCAAGAAGATATTTCGGCTTAAAGGAATCTGGTGTTTTGTTGCTGGATGATCTTGAATCAATTGAGAAATCGGAAAACTGAAAATTTAGCAACGTTATAATTTGAAAAATTGAAACATAGAAATACTGAAGAACTGAAAAATCAAAAAAAATGGGAAATCGAAACCTCAGAATTAAAAAAATTGGAAAATTGAAAAATGGTATAACTGAAAAATCAAAACATCAAAAAATTCGAATATCGAAAAATTGAAAAGCCCAAAAGTAAAAAATCGAAAAACCGAGAAATCCAAACATCGGAACATTGAAAAATTAAAAAATTGAGACATCGAGAAACAGAAAAATCAAGAAATTGGGAAATCAGAAAATTGAATAATCGAAATATTTTAAAACAGAAAAGTTGGAAAATCAAAAATCTCAAAATTCGGAAAATTTAGAAATTGAGATAAAGAAGAATTGAAAACTCGAGAAATCGAAAAACTAAAAATTAAATAAGATTAAATATTTAATCCTCGATTAATTTAACACTGGATTAAAATGTGGAATGGGAGCTCGTGGTTGGTTAAAACCTGCACGTCGCCTAGCAACGAATCTCAATTAAAAGTTAATCGCGAATTAAATTTAACTTCGGTTTCTATAAACCAGGTCTTAGAATTTTAAAAATTGAAAAATAAAGCATCAAAAATTGAGAAATCGAATTACAAAACAGTCGAAAAATTCAAAATTCAAAAAGCAAAAAATCGAGACATCGAAAAATCCAGAAGTACAAAAATCGAAAGTCGAAAAAATCAAAATATTTAAAAATCTCAGAACACAGAAAAAAGTTTACTTGTAAATTTACTGTGAAAATCACAGGTAATTTGTAACCCGAGATAATAAGGGTAATATTCCAACGAAATGTATTTTTAAGTTTGAATGTGATATTTACTTTTTGAATGTAAATCGAAATTACAAAAGAACATGTAAAATTACAAGTAAAATGTAATTTTGACGATTGTAAATTTACAATAAAATATGTAAATTTCCGTGAATGGGTATGTAAATTTCCGTGAATTGGTATGTAAATTTCCGTGAATTGATATGTAAATTTACACAAATTATTGTTATTTTTAGTACTAGTTTTAATCAAAGAAACCATGTCGGACAAAGTGAACCTTTTATTTTATGGTGAAAAACATAATAAACATGTAATAAAATCATAAACACAAAACAAAGTCATTGATGTTGTATATACTTTACATTAATTTAATTTGTTCATAAGGCCAATTACTTTGCGTTTTGTTGATGTTATTCTTTTTGATTTGGATCCTTGATCTGGATGTATTTTCAAAAAAAATCTTTGCATCATTTCCAAAACTGCTGATACTTCGTCTGGATATTCTAAATTCATTATAAAATATAATCCAAACGCCCAAGATACTGCATCTTTTAAAGTGACAACACTTGGAATCACTACTTGTCGTTCTAAAACTACGTGATAAATTGTTTGTGGATCGCTCTCTAGAAAAATACAAAAATACATTAAAATGTTATAGGTACAAAGACGTTTTAAATACTTGCCTATTTTAATTACACATGGCGCAGCCACCTTGATAATTTCATTTAAATTATTCATATCATCACCCTGTGATAAAAATTGCATTAACATAACAATTAAAGATGACATGGGCAAATTATAGTAAGTAATTATCCGCCTGGAAAGTGTACTTTTGTAACTGGAGGAAAATAGTAAACCAGAATAGTAAAGTACTTACCTTTAACAACAAAATACACTATTTTGTACAATTGTACAAAATATATTACCACAACTAATGCACTCCAACTTGTTATAACCTGCAAGCGTTATAGTAATGATTGCGTGCGCATCAACAATTCACAGTATGCATGTGATTTCACCGGTAGACTGGATTATTTTACAAAGTTGGAAGTAATTGTAAAAAATGTTAGTATATTTACGGTATTATAAAGTATAATTCATTTATAAAGTGAATATACATTTACAATTGCGATTCTGTATTGTGTTTTTTCAATTTGACTTGTGAAAATACAAATAGTGACACAAGTTTACTTATTTTATGCACAATGCTGCTAACTTACGTAAATTTACTAAATTTAAGTAAAAAAATACATAAAAAGCAACAGTAAAATAATTGTAAATTTACACGACTTTTTTCTGTGAACTACTGAATATCCGAAAAATTGAGAAATTAAAAAATTGGGAAATTGAGAAATCGAAAAACCAAAAAAGGAGTCATATATCGAAGAATTGAAGAACTGAAAAACTTTCAGAAGTCGAGGAATGGAAAAATCAAAAACAGATTAATTGGCAAATCGGAAAACTGAAAATTTAGCAGCAACGTCAACATTTTGAAAAAATTAAAAATAGAAATACTGAAGAATTGAAAATTTAAACGATCTAGAAATCGAAAAATCTAAAATCTAACAATTAAAACATCGTAAAATTGAAAATCGTGAAATCCAAACATCAAAAAATCAAACAATTAAAATTCGAAAATCTAAAATTTAAACATTGAAAAACTGAAAAATTTACAATTCAAGAAATCCAATCCCCAGAACTAAAAAAATTGAAAAACTGAAAAATCGGAACTCTGAAAAATAGAAACATGGAAAAATTCGAAAATCGAATAATTGAAAAGCCCAAAAGTAAAAAATCGAAAAACCGAGAAATCCAAAAATCGAAACATCGAAAAATTCAAAAATTACGACATCGATAAATCTAAAAATCAGAAAATCGAGAAATTGCGAAATAAAAAAATTGAGCAATCGAAAAATTTTATAAAAAAAATTGGAAAATCAAAAATTTAAAAATTCGAATTTTTTTTGAAAAATTGAAACAAAGAAGAACTGAAAACCCGAGAAATCCAAAAACTTGAAATTTTAAAAGTTAAAAAATTAAAACATCGGAAAGCTGAAAAATTGAGAAATCGAATTATAAAACAGTCGAAAAATTGAAAAAAACTGGAGTTGATCGAAAAATTGAAAATTCAAAAAGTAAAAAATCGAGACATCAAAAAATTCAGAACTGCAAAAATCGAAAAATTAAAATATTTAAAAATCTTAAAACTGAATATTCAAAAAATTGAGAAATTAAAAAATTGGAAAACTGATAAATCGAAAAACCAAAAAAGCAAAGTCAAAAATCGAAAAATCCAAGAACTGAAGAACTGAAAAACTTTGAGAAGCCGAGGAATGGAAAAATCAAAAATAGATTAATTGGGACATCGGAAAACTAAAAATTGAGAAATTGAAAAATTGGACAATCGTAAATTTAAAAATTCGGAAAATTGCAAAATTAAAATAAAAAAGAACTGAAAACCCAAGAAATCTAAAAACTTAGAATTTTAGAAATTGAAAAATTAAAACATCGATAAGTTGAAAAATTGAGAAATCGAAGTATAAAACAGTCGAAAAATCAAAAAATCTAAAGTTTAAAAAATCGAAAGATCGAAAAATCCAGAAGTCGCAAAAACGAAATATTGAAAAATCCC